CCCCAAAACCCCAAAACCCCAAAACCCCAAAACCCCAAAACCCCTTGCTTGACAAGCTTTATAGAATAATTTTAAATTTTGTCGCGAAAATGCCAGCAGAAGAAGGTAAAACCAGATCAGAGAATTATAAAACCATTGGAACCATCGGTAAAGGAGCCTATTCTACAGTATATAAAGTTCAGAGGAAGTCTGATGATCAGATCTATGCACTCAAGGAGGTTATGCTGAAGGGTCTTTCGAAGAAGGAGAAGGAAAATGCACTGAACGAGGTGCGTATATTGGCATCAGTCCAACATCCCAATATCATCTCTTATAAAGAGTGCTTTTTAGAAGAGAGTTCTGCCATTCTCTGTATTGTCATGGAGTATTGTGATGGAGGAGATTTATACCAGAGAATCATAGAACAGAAGAAAAAGAAATAAGTTGTTCTCTGAAGCAGAAATTTGGGAAACTTTTATTCAAATCGTCAAGGGACTTGATGCCCTCCATAAGAATAAGATCCTCCATCGAGATCTGAAATGCGCGAATATCTTCATGAATAAGGATGGAACTGTTAAACTTGGTGATTTAAATGTGTCCAAAGTTGCTAAGATGGGTCTAGTGTACACCCAAACAGGAACTCCTTACTACGCATCACCTGAAGTATGGATGGACAAACCATATGATAATAGGAGCGATATCTGGTCTCTTGGTTGTGTGATCTACGAAATGATAACCCTCAGACCTCCCTTCACGGCTTCGTCAATGCAAGAGTTAGCTAGTAAAGTGAAGAAGGGAAGTTATCCAAGAATTCCAAGTGTATATTCCAGAGACCTCGCAACTGTAGTGGCAACTTTGCTGAAAGTTTCACCTTTAATGAGACCTAGCTGAGAGCAGATCCTGCATATGCCTGCTGTTGAAGAACACCTTACTGATGAAGAGACGAGAGAAATTTGTTTAGACCTTTTGAATACTATTAAAATCCCGAGAAATATGAGCTTATTGAAACAAAAGTTGCCTGCTAGTCAATTCGAAAATGCCAAAGTCCAGGAGGATTTTGATGAAGATAATTATGAAGATGATTTTGAGAAAGATATCACATCTGAAGAGAAACAAATTCGTAGTAAAAAATCAACCAGGGTTATTCACAAGCCACCCAAGATAGATAGAACAGAGAAATTCAAGAAAGTACCTTCTGGACTTCCTCCTACAGCTCCTTCACAAAAAGTGATTCCTCCAATGCCTCAGTCGAATAGAAACCAAGAAGTAGGTGAACTAAATATAAGTCCTTCGAAGGTTTCATCTCGACAGAATCAGAATAGGAAAGTTAGTAAGACGAAGAGAGCTGCCGAGGAAAACCTAAGGAAAAAGAGGAGGAATCCTAAAACAATGGAGGCACAAAGAGCCAAACTTGCTTCAATTAATCAGCCTCCGAAGAAATATAGGATGCATTCAAAAGATGGGATGAAGTCAAAGAGAGTCTCTGAAATATATAGAATGCGTGCAAAAGAAGTTGAGAATCAAGAGAAACAAATAAACAAAGAATTGAGACATAAGTACCAAAATCGTATTTATAACCCTAATAATAAGTATTTGAGCAGGGATTATGCCTCTGCAGGAAGAGCAGGTCTCAAGAACTTACAGCATCAGCAAAGAGTCATTATCGATCCTACCCAGAATGCTCAAAAGTTGAATCAAATGATTGGTCAGAGGCAGATAGGCTCTCAGAATTCTCAAAGAAGAAGATACCAACCTCTTAGTGAAAACTACAGAGGTCTGAATAACAAATTATCCGTACAAGTGAGCAATGGTGAGTTGCCTAAACAAGGGCAGTATAATTTGATTGGAAAAGCAGGCTCTCGGGGTTCTTCAATCACTCCTCACTCTAGCAAAAGACCTGGCTTAATGCCGTCCAAACTTAAAGAGAATTATAAAAATTCTGGTATTTCTAATCAAATTTCTAATAATCTTCCGACAAGGCTGAATAAATATGCTATTGGAAATGGCTCTCAAAGAAGTCAGCCAGTTCTGAAGAGTCTGAAAAATAATCTTTCAAGGAGGTATGGCTCTAACAAGAATTCAACTAATGAGCAGCCTATGATGCCAATTCGGCCATCTGGAAATGCTCTGAATAATAGAAGGTTAGAGCTACACTCTGCTAAGAAGAAATATAGGATGAATCATAATCATCAGCACAGAATCAAGCCAATGTCAGCTAAAGCTCCTTCTTGGTGGGGCTAAATGCTTAAATAACTTTATTGACAACCTTTAGGTTACAACTTTTGACTCGGTAAAAGGGGTTTTGGGGTTTTGGGGTTTTGGGG